TTGTGTACAAAGCGATCACATTAGTGCCATTAGCAGTATGGTACAATTTGGCATTAGTAGCGGTTTTAGTGGTATAGGTATTGGTCGCGGATCAGTCGTAGCATTAGTAGTATTAGTTGCGATATTACTACTGGCATTAGTGGCATTGACAGTGGAAACACTGAAACAGTGATTTTTCTCTCTTTTTTTTTAGAATCGACGAATTATCCTTTATTTTGTTCATATTATTTCCTCTTTAATTGAAAATAGCAATAATTTATATAAGGTCTACATAAAAAAATTTCGATCAACTATCGGTGTCAAATACCCCACTGTGGGGCGTGGGGATAGTAAGTTTTTAAGATTCATTTGTAAACATTAGTCAATTCTTTGAATATATAGACTAAATTCGGCATTTCTGTTCTATTTACTCCAAACAACTTTCCTTAAACATTCTCATTTTCGTAATTAATATATGTTCGTTGGCCATTTTCTTCCTATGTAGGATCTACTTCATTCAATTCTCTGTTAGCAATCCATTTCCTTTGGTCTCGAGTAGTGTAGCATTACTGTAAATCAAGACACTTTTTGGCCAACTTAATATACCTAACGATTCGTGATTTAAAGTCGAATCGACGATTGAGAGTAACTTTTCAAGGTTTATCAATTCCATGAATCTGTTTAAACCGAATTAGGAATTCTTCTATTATGCCTTCTTGATTTAATTCTTTTTCAGCAATCCATAGCATTAGTTGGTACCATACATAAAATATGCGATACTTTTGGTAAAAGTGCTGTATATCATAGTGTTTTGATGGCCTTCGCGTAGATAACCCATACGATATGGTTGATTTCTTTAGCAAGTATTCAGTTTATTGCATTTTAATATCCTAATATGTCTTTCTCATCCTCTAAATTTCCTATATCTATAAATCTGTGTGTCGCAGGGATATTTTACAGAATTATAGTTTGATCATTATCAAATTTAAGGTTTCTTGATATCTTTTAATACATACATTCAGTCTTCAGGTATATTTTCTGACATTTTATCTACTAACTGTTGTTAATGGCAACTATGTAACAATAATTGAGGTAAAAACTCATGTTATAGTTTTACACAATAAAATTTGAGTGAAATCACCCAGTTTAGAGTATTTTCGCTCATTACTAATCATACGTCATACGCGCTTCTTCGATACCGAATAAGCTATTTCCCTGTTCCTCAGTTTTTAATTATCTGTTCGAGTCGTAGGTTGTCTTGTTCCTTCGAAGGTGCCCAGGTTACAAGTCCATAGTGTATGTGTGTGTGATGTAAAGTGTGACAGTGGCCGCGTGGCGTGGTGAAGCGAATACGAACTCATAACTCCTAAATATGTTTTATGTTAAGAACATTTTTTTTCACATCGCAGAAATCCGCCTAACATATATTCAAATTCGACTGCGTCTACTGATTGCCGCAATGCTCGGATGTTTCCTGGACTAATTAGCGTAGCGAAAATCTAGGTACTTTCCCTCAATCTGGAACTGGGAACTGGAACATTTGGCAGAATAACATTTTTTTTTAATTTTCAGGAGGAAAAGTATCTGGATTTTCCGGAGGATTTTCGTTATTAAAAGTTAGTTTAGAAATTAGAAATATTCGAGAATGTTGGTAGCCGAGCTGACGAATGCTCTTAATAAAGCGGATTTTTGCGATGTGATGCAACTTTTCTAGACATCTAGCTTAAAAAGTTCCTGTATTTTTTCCAAAAAGAGTTGAAAACTTTTTAAAATGTTTTTGATATTATAATAATAGTGTTATATTTGGTTTTATTTGTTTTTTTGTCAAATAAAAATGACAAATAAAAATATTTTTGAAGGTTCTACAGTTTTTTATTTGGTTTGTTAAAAAAAACGAAATATTCTAAATGATTTTTTTAAAAGCTATGTAAGCTAACTTGTTATTTTATTACAAGTGACCAGATGCCTCCCAAAAGTGAATTTTAGGAAATGGACATGTTCGAGACCATGTCCTAAACTGAAACTTACCTTTGAAAGGCACCTGCCCACCTGTTATAAAATAACAAGTTAGCTTACATATAGCTTTTAAAAAAATAATTTAGAATATATTTCTCAATACTGAGTGAAATTAATACTCAGATATGAGTACTAATCGAGTTAAGTGTAACACAAATTTGAGTAAAAGTCACTCAATAAAAGGTGTCTTGAACTCAACACTTAGTGAGTTCACTCATTTTAAAGTGAATAAATTATCAAAATCGATCAAAATCCTACTCAAGGTAAACAATAATGAGTAAAAAGGAGTCTTTCGTCTAATCTCGATTGAGTGAAAACACTCAGTGCTTTTCACTCTGAGAATTGAAGATTCACTCGGTTCTGTAGAGTGGAAATTTCACTCAATCGGGTGTGGACAGAAATTGAGAAAGTATTGAGTGAAATCTGAGTGAAATTTCACTCATTTTTTTTTACAGTGTACGATATGGTTGATTTCTTTAGCAAGTATTCAGTTTATTGCATTTTAATATCCTAATATGCCTTTCTCATCCTCTAAATTTCCTATATCTATAAATCTGTGTGTCGCAGGGATATTTTACAGAATTATAGTTTGATCATTATCAAATTTAAGGTTTCTTGATATCTTTTAATACATACATTCAGTCTTCAGGTATATTTTCTGACATTTTATCTACTAACTGTTGTTAATGGCAACTATGTAACAATAATTGAGGGGTTCCAGAAGTGAACTGGATCAAGTCCAAGAAGATAATTATGGAGAAAATGAGAGTTAAGGTTTTTTTAATGTTACTTAATTAAAATAGTACAACCTGCTTTGTTATATTAAAAAAATGCTTTGTTATATTTCAAATTTTATAATTGCAAACTAAAGTAACTCAAAATACAACTGTGGTACTGTGGTCATTTTTAACAATGTTTGTTTATACTTTTTTGGACTTGAACCATTTTATCTCTGAAAATATCTTTAATTTTAGATATAAATTGTTTCATCGGTACATTTTGCTTCGTCATTAAAAGATTTGTTAACTTCACATTTCCAATTAATAGTGTTTTCTTCGATTTTTATAAAAATTATGGTACATAGGAGGGATAAAGGGAAGAAGATCTTTCGTGTGTTGCCTTTTAGAGTGTGTTACGTTACGTCTATATGAAATGATAAGATTGTTCTGCCTATAGCGCAGTTTTATTCAGATCAACAACATGTCATCTAGGTATCTGTATGTCTAGGTATCATCTAGGTATTTGTAAGAAAAACAGCCTAACTTATTGATGTAGTAATAGTGAAAATAATGATAAAAATCAACCTATACTTTCAGAATTGATAGAATCAGACCTTTTACATATGGCCGGTAATCTGATTTACTTGACGCTAATTGTTCAGACTTTGTTTCATTATCATCCATTTTATCAAAAAAATAATTTGTTTAGCTCTAAACTTTAGCACGTGTGTTAAAATCACGCACAGAGTTAAGTTTTATGGACTTGGTCCAGTTTACTTCTGAAAGGAATCAACAGAATATTCAGAAACCAAACAGAAACAGGTTATAGCTGCTTAATGCGTGAAATATGACTTGATTCATTTCTCTTTTGGAAAAAACTATATATTTTATAAATGAAAAAGAATAATGAAATTATTGGGCAACCTATAGTAAGATTAGCCATGAAACATGGCTAAAATATGACTACCCGTAGACACTCAGTGTTTCTGCCTTCCAGCTTCATCAATACGGGAGGAATCAGCAACGATGAATTAGCGATCCTAAAAAAAAGAAAAACGAAGAAGCAAATGTAGGCACTAGTTTGCAACCTGTTGAGCAGTAGCTCACAATTCATTAGCCGTACATAGCCAAAAAACCGCTGCGGAGGTACATTATACATACCTCGCCGCTTCATCAATAGCCCAGAGAAAACAATAAAGAAAAGAAGTTATCGTGGGGACTATAATAAAAAAGAAGAATGAAATTATTGGGCAACCTACAGTAAGATTAGCCATGAAACATGACTAAAATATGACTACCCGCAGACACTCAGTGTTTCTGCCTTCCAGCTTCATCAATACGGGAGGAATCAGCAACGATGTATTGATGAAGCTGGAAGGCAGAAACACTGAGTGTCTACGGGTAGTCATATTTTAGCCATGTTTCATGGCTTCTCTTACTGTAGGTTGCCCAATAATTTCATTCTTCTTTTTTATTATAGTCTCCACGATAACTTCTTTTCTTTATTGTTTTCTCTGGGCTAAGGTGATAGCGGCGAGGTATGTAGAAGTACCTCCGCAGCGGTTTTTTGGTAGTAACGCTTGCGAATTGTGAGCTACTGCTTAACCAGGTTGCAAATGGTGCCTAGTGCCTCGTTTGTCTGACATTACTTCGACATAGCAACATAGCGCTTCCCCTTTTTCTTCTTTTTTCGGGATCGCTAGTTCATCGTTGCTGATTCCTCCCGTATTGATGAAGATGGAGGGCAGAAACACTGAGTGTCTACTGGTAGTCATATTTTAGCAATGTTTCATGGCTAATCTTACTGTAGGTTGCCCAATAATTTCATTCTTCTTTTTTATTATAGTCCCCACGATAACTTCTTTTCTTTATTATTTTATAAATGTATAAAGACGATTCTCTTAAAATAGTAGGAAATTGGACTTGATCCATTTTATTTCTGACCACTCCAATTGTTGTTAGTAACAATACGTTAACGGTGCGCTTTATAATTTGATCATCAATTTTAACATCTTTTTGCTGCCTTCTAATAATGCATAATAAAATCTTTAATATTGTGTAGACACAAATTTTTTGGTATCTTCCATCCTTCCCATTTCCAATGTTGTAGTAATAATTCTTGCAGTAGCAATGTCATTTTCAAAACAGTTTCCTGCACTCTTATCTCAAACACACCCAGCGCGACAATTCCTGCAACAAAGACCAGCAACAATGATCGCTTCTCCCCACCTCGCGTCACCCTGCACACACCTGTACCACCAGCGCTAACCTGGTGTACCTGGGCGATTGGTAATTTACGATCGAGTCAGTGTTCGAGCGTTGAGAGCGCGTTCCGGCGAGTTGTTCGAGTACGCGCACGGTTTAAATGTCCCTCGCCAAAGTCGTACCCGCCGATATTCGCGTTTGTGAATGTGAACAGGAGCGGCCGTAGACCGACGCAGCAGGGCTGGACGAGCCCGCGGGGATACTGGTACCATGACCGTGTCATACGGAGGTCGGGTGCCCAACGGCAGTACCTTCGGCTGTTTCTGGAAGGTTTTGGGAATGTAAGTTAAACGGAAAAAGCTTCTTAAGTTACGATAAATTAGTAAGAAAACTCAGAAATTTTCTGACATAGTATGTATATTTATTCTGAAAAAAATTAGAAATGTTAGTTCCAGCATTTATAGCTTAAGAACAGATGGTCCGATTTTAATGATCTCTGATTTGTTGGATTCGTCTCAACCCCGAATAGCAGAATAACTCTTAAAATTCAAAGAAAATAATACAAAAAATCAATTTCTCAATTAATTAGGTTTGGAACTCCGTCATCTTCCGCAATTAGGTGGGCACACATGAGAGGTATTTTTAAACGATCGGTCCCGCAGCGGCGACTCCCGCTAGGTTTACCACGCGTCCGGATTAATCCGGACATGTCCGGATTTTCGGTACGTCCGGTTGAGTCCGGGCGGATTTTTCATAAGCGTCCGGATTTTAACGTTACATTAAGAAATGTCACAATAGTGCAAAATAATATATTAGTTTTAATAAATTTAGTTACTTAAAAAATCGTCGATAAATTCAGCAGTGTAAATTCCTTGTTTTACTTCGTAAGTTTTAAGTTTTGAAAGTTGTAAATGTATTTTTTTTTCAAACGTCACAAAAGTATTAATTTTTGCGACGTCATTGACAACATAAAAAAGTAATTATAACGCCTAGGAATAAAAGTAAAGCACTTTTACGCCTAAGCACAAGAGAGTACGAAATATATTCTGTATTCCGTTGCAAAACCAGGCAAGCCAGACCGGTAAACTACGGTAAAGAGCGGTTCCTGAAAAACATCGGTTTGATACGGAACGGCTTGGTAAAATATTGGAAACGTCAAATGTTGACGTTTTCTAAATTTCAATACCTCTATTATAAAATTTACCTTTTATGCATTTTTAATGTACCTATTCTCTGCTTTTACGTTTGCCTCTTCTTTTCAATGGAGTTTAATATCGAAAAGTACTTTATTAATAAACTGTTAAACTCGTTAGACAGCTCAAGTGAAGATTTGCAGGTCCAATATTAAAACAGATCAATAATAAATAAACAAATCTAATCAATATTTATATTTTTATAGCCTACAAAACATTCACGATTACTTGTTGTCTTGTTTTTCATGTTTTCTTTATATGTTCCTGACTTTAAGAAACAATGGCTGCATGACAAGTTTAAATGATCCTAAAAAGTAATTCTATTTAGTTAATGAAATTTATTTACCTTTACTGTCTACCTCCATTGCTTTTGGATGTAAATACAAAATATTGCCACAAATTTTAGAAATTAAATGAGAATTTCTCTCGAACTTCCAATATTTGCTTGATTTCTGTCACATAAATGACATTGATTGACAAACAAAACCAGAAAAACCAGCCTTCTCGCGCTGATTAGTTTGGTAACAGTTATAACCGAATTTTCCAGGAACCGTGTTCCGTAATAAGAAAACTTTCAGGAAACCGATAGAAATGGAACATAAAACCATCACCAAGGTAAGCAACGGAATACACCATTGACATAGTGTCAAATTTAACGAGCGTAACCATAGTTTCTCGATATACGTATATCGAGTAAGGTATTATTTTTAAATCTCTTTATATTATTTGGAACGCTTCAATTATTTAAAAAATTATTTGTGGCGTTTGAAAAAAAAAATAGCATGTTCTATTCGGAGTAAAAATGATTTTTGTACCTTGCCTGTATGCCAAACGTCCACTCCGCAGCTTCGCCACAAAAAGTATCATTTTTTTTCCTAATAAAACAACATACTATTTTTGCTCTTATATCGCTAAAAATTATGACGTCCGGATTTTGTCCGGAGTTTTGGGAAGGCTTGCCCGGGGTTGACAAGTTTTCATCTGGTAATCCTATGTCCCGCTGCTCGATCTCTCATTTCAATCCCGCCGATCTGGTCGGCGAGGGGATAGAACTTTCATTGCCTACTAACGTAAATATTAAATTAAATCTCTCATTTTTTGAACGGAATTGATCTGTGAAGGGACAAATCGGTTAGTTAGTTGCAAATACTCTCAAATTTTGAAGGTGTGACAAAAACTTTCCTTTTATTGAAAATTTAAGTCAAAATGTTGCAAACGGCTACTCTTATATCGGAGGCGGTGGGAACAAGCTTTTGCTTCTGCACCTTGGAATAAAAAAAATGATACCCACCTATACCTTACACTGCATTCCAAAGGGCGCCACTTATTTCAAAAAGATGCTGATACTTTACAAAGGATAGTACAAACTGAAATAAGAAAATTTGTACTAGTGTATTAATTGAATGGAAACTAAAATTAGTATAGCTATTAAATATTTTGAGAAAATGGATCAACCAATGAAACAATTCAAATACCCAAAAAAATAAGATTTATTACTTGTTAGAAATATTCGGTACCTATTCGGCACAGCAATTACGTACATTAATATACAAGAAATATGTTTAAGAAACTCTATCTTAAAACTTGCTTAAAATCAAATTATGTTTTAAATATTATTCAAACAATTATAATATAAAAGAAATACTTTTAGAGACGGTCTTGGTTATATCTGAATAATAAATATTTAAGTTTTATTTGACTTATTTCGAAGATTCATGAACCTTTTTGTTTGTAATATATAGTCAAACGAAAAAGTTTAAAATATGTACCCAAGATTGCTCTTACAGGTCAAAGATCGTAATGATATAAAAGATTAATATAAATAGAAGTTAAATCCGAATAATCAATCAATATAACATAGTTATTTTAATAATCAAATACAAGTAAAATTTAAGCAATGCTGAAGGCAAATACTTAAAGTGTTAAAAAAATATATAAAATGTAACAGAACGTTAAATTTTATAAATTAAGGATTAAAGTAATGCTGAAGGCAAGTACTTAACCAGTTAAATGTCAAATGTTAAGAATAGTTAATTTCTTAACACACTAATGATTATTTAAAATCAAATTAATAAAATTTTAGTTTACTATAAAAAATATACTGGCCTTGTATACCAAATTATACCAAAAAAAGGATCTTCTTAATGATAAAAAAAAACATCACTGCATCCAACTTCTCCTCAGAGGGGTGCAGGGCTGAAATCTAACCGAACAGGCCGCTATTGATTAACTCGGAAAACATTAAGATAGAAAAACTTCTAGACACAAGTGTAGAAAAACTGTAGAAAAACGTCTAGAAAAATGTCTAGAAATACTTGCAGAAAAATCCAAAGAAAAACGTTGAAAAAAACCTAAAAAGAAATGCACGGTATAAGTTAAATTTAACGACGGTATTAATTTACCTCATTGTGAAAGCACACAATCAATAATCTAACATTTCTTCTCAAATAAGGACTGGACACTTCTCATCAAAAAACTGGAATCTAAAAGAAAGGCATGTGAAGGTTTTTTCTAACGAATGGAATGTCAAAGAAAATCTTACCAAAACTATAGATCCATTAAAATCTCAACAATCAAAAGGTATATGGGACCTTCAACCATCCATAGGATAACAAAATCACAATATTTTTACCATATTGTGAAAAATACCAGCCAAATAAAATTTTCTCAAAAATTGCACGGTGACCTCGGAACGACCAAATCCGAGGTGACGATTTTGACGTTTCCCGTCTTGTCGATACACCAGGGTACGATCCAATATTTTCGATAGAGAGCGTTCCGAAATTTAAGCGTTGTAGAAATGTAAAAAGAATATCGATACAATAATAAAAAACCGTCTATAATAAAACAAAGTAGCATTTGGAAAATGAAAATGCTACAAAGGGATGCCAACAGCGGGTTAGATATCTTATACTCGTATAAAATCTCAGCAGATTTTCGGTAAAAGATTCGGGATGGAGAAAGAAAAAAAAGTAACATTAGGTATTGGGTTTGTGTACGCTGGAAATTGTAAAAAAATATAAAAATAAGTCGATCTAAGTGGATAAAATGAGGTCAAGAATGACAAATATATGGGTATATGTCCTTACTTCGTAAACTTAGAAAAAAATGAGAAATTTTAAAAATGATCTGGGAATGAGTACTTCAAATTCTTGTTAAAAAGTTTACAAATTTGATCTTTACGTTTTGGTTTAAGTAACTTTTATCTCTTATTTTCCATAAACAAGGTCTTTGTCGATAACATTTCAATTAATCGAATCAAAATTTCTTTCGTCCACACGTTTTGAGTACCAGCGCCATACCTGCCGCACCTGCGCCTGTTTACATGCAGGTATATATACCTGGCATGTGTAATACCTGGCATGTGTAACCTATACCTGGCATGTGTAATAGGTCTCCGCAGGGTTTATAAACAGAGCTTTCGCTATCAATGAATCTCAGAATCTGCTACATAACTGGCATAACATAAGACAAGCGAATATTCAGGTAATGTAAATGATTCTATGTCGACTGGCTGTCTAATGAATAAGCTGTGGTGATAATATAGTCTATCCAACGACAAAATCCTTGACAGTGATAGATGTGTCTGTCATTTTAATTTCAAAGTAGTTTATTATATTTTACACAGAAATAAGTTGGTACAATTGGAACGCATAATTAATATATTTAAATTTTGAGTGACAAGTGATTACTTCAAAATATTGTGAAAAAAACTATATAAAACTGAAAAAATCTAATCTTGGTTATTTAACTTTAATCTTAATTTTTTCTGCAGTACTAAAATGTATTATTTACCTATCGTGTGATGTTATTTTATAGATACTCCAGTTTTTGGTACCATATACGAGATGGTATACAACTTTATTTGTGGCTAATACAACTCTCTGGCCATAGTCTCTGGCTATGGTCTCTGGCAAACTGTGTCTCTGGCGGTCTCTGTGCAACGAATATTAACTGTAAACTATGGTCTGGGTCAACTCTTAATTTTCCCCCGAGTTTTCCTCCACTTAATTAAAAAAAACACGAAACACAAGTAACAACACAGGCCAAAATGCAAAATGCAAAATATTTATCATTTCTATTTGACATAATTTCACACAAAATTATAACCTATAATTTGGCAAGAGTTTTTGACAACTCTCAAAAAT